CCTCACTGTAACACCCTCTGATATACCCCACACCCCTCACTGTAACACTCTCTCCGATATACCCCACACCCCTCACCGTAACACTATGATATATCCCACACCCCTCACCGTAACAGTACAATATACCCCACACCCCTCACTGCAACACTCACTCCGATATACCCCACACCCCTCACCGTAACTCTACGATATACCCCACACCCATCACTGTAATACTACGATATACCCCACACCCATCACTGTAACACTACGATATACCCCACACCCCTCGCTGTAACAGTACGATATACCCCACACCCCTCACTGTAACAATACGATATACCCCACACCCCTCACTGTAACACTACGATATACTCCACACCCCTCACTGTAATACTACGATATACCCCACACCCCTCACTGTAACAGTACGATATACCCCACACCCCTCACTGTAACAGTACGATATACCCCATACCCCTCACTGTAACACACTGACATACCCCACACCCCTCACCATGACACTCTCTGACACACCCTTTCCTGTAACCCATCCTGATACACCCCTCACAGCCCATAGTCTCACCCTCACCATCTTGCCGACGATGATGATCTTTGGTCCCAGCTGCTTGTGGATGGCGAAGATGTGAACCAGCCGAAAGCAGAAGACCATGAAGTCGAGGCAGAGAATGACCCGGCCCATCTCGTACCACGAGCTGAACATTCTGCAAGAGGAATACGGTTAAATCCATGACTGTAGCTCTCATTGGCCAGGTACACAAACCCCACTACCACCTCCCCCTCTACCCTGGTCACCCTGGGGCCCATACGGCTACAGGAGCCAGAGAACCAGAGGGCCCCTGCTTCAACTCCTTGGCCAATATGAAGTTGGCTGGTCTTACTGGGAATTGTAATCCTGGTTAGGCTATTGGTTGCTGGCCCACCCAGAGTTACCCTCCCCATCCCATAACTCCACATTTATTATGGTTAACCCACCTAAACTACACACTATGGGTTAATTTAGCATGGCCAATCCACCTAATCTGCGCACCTGTGGACTGTGGGAGGAAACCGGAGCACCCAGAGGGAACCACACAGACACGGGGAGAATGTGCAAACTCCAGACGAAACAGTTACCCGAGAGTGGAATCAAACCTGGGTCACTGACGCTGTGAGGCAACGCTAACCACTGAGCCACCGTGCCACTTTTCTAAACTTCCAAATTCAAAAAAGGCCAGAAAATATGGTTGGAGGGGGTGTCTCTTCACTGGACACCCATGGCAATGTTGTGTGTTGGCACAGGTAGGCTGGGAGGGGGAGGGGAGCGGGCTGGGAGCTTTCCTCACTTAATGGAGCTTTTCCCCCACAACCTCTACCACCTGCTACCCCTCCTCTTCTCCACAAACACCTACTCCACCAATCTACCATTGAGAAGGTGCCCAGTGTCCTTTGGCTGGGTTCTGGTGCCAGTGGTGGAATCTGCAAGCCAACTGGAAGATTCCAAGAGTCTCTTGATCCATTTGGGACTGGCCTAAAGGGCCCAATTGTGGAGAAGTAGGTGTCACCCAAAAACCCCCTTCTCGTCAGTTCCTCCCAGTCCACCTTCCTCCTCACCTCCTTGCCAATCCTCTCTGAAAAAAAGGCCTCCCGAAGATACAACGATAGGGGGCAGGGTAACCAACAGAGAGGCAGGAAATGACATGCATCCTCACCTCTGTCCATCTGAGGACTTCCCAACGGGGCAGTTGGTGGGGGGTGGGGCAGTTTCTTTTCATTCTACCCCTCTTGCCTAACTGACCCGCCCCTCCCTAACAAACAAAATGTCCACTGACCTGCCGATGACCCCGGCGATGAACATGAGGATAGCCAGAATGTCGCACTTGTTCCACATGTCCTGATAATACAGCTTCACCTTCTTCTTCAAGGGGATGTTCACGCTGACAAAGAAGGTCTAGGAAGAGACAGAAGTGCCAGTGTCACCATGGAGACGGAAGCATCACATTTTTGATTGATTCACTCAGAGGATGTGGGTGTCACTTGGCTGGGTCAGCATTTATTACTCATCCCTGACTGCCCTTGGAAAGGTGTTGGTGAGCTGCCTGTGGCAAATAGTGGCTTTGTTCGTGACTTGGAGACACGAGTTGAAATCCCAGCAGCAAGTCACAAAGGAAATAAAATAGCATGGAATTCCAAAGTGAGTCAATTTAAATTTGATTCAAACAGTGAATGAAATCTGGAGTTAAACATTTGGCTTAGTGATGGTGACTGCAAAACTACGAATGGATACTGTTAAAATTTGGCCCTTAAATCCCTTTCAGGAAGGAAACTAATACTTTTACATGTCACGATGGGCCAAAGGTCCTGTTTTTGTGCTGTAAAAACTCCATAGCATGTGACACCAAACTGCCCTCTGAAATGGCCTTGCCAACCACTCAGTTCAAGGGCAATTAGGGATGGGTCACCCACACCGTCCTGAAAGGATAATGAAATTGCATCTCCATGTCATGCCTTGATTGTAAAATTCCCTCTCCCTATCTCTGGAATCTCCTCTGAGATTGCTATACACTTCCAATCCTGGCATCTTGCCTACCATGGGCAGCCAAACAGAGCTAAATGTTGGCAATCCCTCTCTAGGCCTCTCTACTGCTCTCCTCCTTAAGGACACACTTGAACAAAGTTTAGAGTGATGCTGTTCTGGTCACTGTATTCCATAAAGGACATGGAGGCACTAGAGAGGCTGGAGAGGAGGTTTACAAGGAGAATACCGGGAATGTGTGTGTTTATATATTGGGAAAGGATTGGTAGTCCAGTTCTCTTCTCTGTTGACAGATGAGGAGTGACCTAATCAAGGTCTTTAAAAATTACAACAAGGTTTTGACAGAGTGGATGCAGAGAGATTGTTAGATTCCTCTTCTGGGGGAAGAGCAGACCGAGAGGTGGTCAATGTAAGGTTGTCACCAAGAAATCCAACAGGCAATTCAGAAGAAACCCCTTCATCCAGAGAATGGGCGACCTCAATAGTGCAGGGAATGTTTGAGTTCAATTAGCTCAGTTGACTGAAAGGCTTGTTTGTGAGGCAGGGCGATTCTAATAGTGTGGGTTCAATCCCTACACCAGCTGAGTTTACCATCAAAGTTCTGTCTTCTTGACCTTGGGTTGGATCAACCCTATTTGCAACAGGTAGAGACCCACACTGCAAAACAGACCCTATCTTGGAAATACTCATCACTACCTTTCTCTGCTTCTCTCTCTCTCTACCACCCTCACCCTCTCCTTAACCCCATCCCTCCCATTCTTCCCACAGCCTCCACACCATTTCCTTCTGCCTCTCCCCTCTCCTCCTCACCTTCTTCTCCTCTCTCTCTCATCTCCTTTTCACTCCCTCCTCTCATCTCCTTTTCACACCCTCCCCTCTTTCCCTCCTCTCCTTCTGCCCCCCTCCCCTCCCCTCTCATCTCATTCCCATCTCCCCTCTCCTCCTCCCCACTCTCACCTCATTTTCACCCCCACCTTTCTCTCCCCCCCTTGCCCCCATATTCCCCCTCCTTCTTTCCCTCCCCTCTCCTCCCCTCCACTCCTTCTCCCCCTCTCCTCTCCTTCTTCCTCCCCTTTCTCCTTCTACCCCCTTTCCTTTCCTTCTCCCCCTTCCTGCCTTTCTCTTTCTCTCTCCATGCCCCACCACTTCTCTCTCTACCCCATCCCCCTTTCTCACTCCATCTCTCTCTCTCTCTCTCTATCTGGACCCTAGCTGTCTTTCTCCTCCATCTCCCGCTGGGCCATTGGATTGGTGTGGAAGCCAGGAAACAGCTTCAAACAGTGTGTCTGCACATTAATGTCGGGGAAGTTAAAACCACTTTTCTCTGATTCAAACCAGAAACAGAAAATGTTCTCGCTCCTAATTTTAATATTTGAATTAGAAGCAGGGGTAGGCCATTCAGCCCTTTGAGTCTGTTCTGCCATTCAACAAGAACATGGCTGCGATGTTTGTCTTTCGAATTTCACTTCCCCACCTAGCCTTGATAATCCTCGATTCCCCTGATGGACAAGGATCTACCTCTGTCATTAAAATATTCACCGACCTCCAACTCCACTGCCATCTGGGGCAGAGAGTGCCAAAGTGATCAAGATGTGGTCTCACCAAAGCCCTGTTTAACTGAAGCATTATATCCTCATTTTTATGTTCAATTCCTCTCCTAATAAAGACTGGTATCTCATTAGCCTTCCTGACTATGTGCTGTACCTACGCATCAACCTCTTCCGGCTCATGTTGTACACTTTGGGGGTTCTGCAGTCATTCTCTAAGTAATACTCTGCTTGTTCATTCTTCCTGTCAAAATGAACAACCTCACAGTTTTCCACATTGTACCCCATCAACTAGACTTTTGCCACTTATTCAGCCTGTCTAAATCTGCTTGCGTTCTTATTATGTCATCTTCACTCCATACGTTCCTCCCTATTTTCCCATCTTGGAAGCAGAATTCACAAATAGTTACTCGGTCGCACTTAACTTGAATCTCGGTGAAAAGATGGACAAGTTGCCGAGGCTTTTTGTCTTGCCCTGATCAGGACACGTGCAAGAATGCCACATTTCAAATGAGCGCAACAATTTGTACTGCAGGAGGGAAGGAGGAAAGCTCGACTCTGATTGGTCAGAGATGGCGGTGGAGTAAGATGCTTCAGCCACGGATTGTCCACTCCATCCATTTCGTTTTCTTTCTTTTCTCTTTTGCGTTTTTGTCCTCTTCTCTCTTCTTTCTTCTCAGCCTCCAGACACCCGGTCTCAGTGAGAACTCAGCGAGGAGTCATCTCGGCCCAGCACGGCGGTGTCTTGGCCTGGGGTGTGGCTCTCTTGGCCCGGGGTGGGGGCGTCTCGGCCCGGGGTGGCGGCCTCTCGGCCCACGATGGCGGTCTCTCGGCCTGGGGTGGGAGTCTCACAGTCTGCGATGGCGGTCTCTCGGCCCGGGGTGGGGATGTCACGGCCCGCGATGGTGGTCTCACGGCCTGGCCTGGCCTCAGCGTGGATGTCTGGCCTCAGCATGATTCCCGAGCAGTATCCCAACCTCGAGAGTCTCAAGGTGAAGCCCAGCGCGGTCTGGAGTCAAGGACTAGTGCAGACTGGAGGCTGGGTGCTGGCGTGGACTGGGTTGGAAGAACCGTTATCCTGAGCTTTCCATTTCTCTATTTTTCTGATTTATTCCTACGATCTGCAATGCTAGACTTTTTACTTCTTTATTTTTCTAAATTTTTTTCATAAGAACTTGTACCGCAGAATCCGTGCCTAGGAATCTTGTCCCTTAAATGGCACAGTAAGTGGTGATTTGTAAACTTTTCGCTACGTTCATTTGAGTACATGTGACAACGTAGCCAACTCAACTCAATTTGACTGATCAAGGTGTGGCCGAGCAATGGAGAGCTATAGGTTGCACTGATTCCCAGGTTAATTCAAAAAAATTCACAGCATTCTCAAATATTCCTTTGAAATCTGGCATTCTTGGCTATTGTCTTGATAAACGCAAGGCTGTGGCTCTTTTCAGCGAGATTCAAGAAGTCACAAAGTTAAAGCTTTCTTTTTGAGGAATGGAACACAGAGTGATTTCATTCCAAATGGTTTTTCTTTTCCTGCATACCTGTCGGATCTCTTCGAAGGCGAGCGTGAGGACCCAGAAATATAGGATGAGCTCTGCTATCGATGGATTCTTAAGAGGCAAATCCAGGATCAGGACGTAGGCAAAGAGGAACAGGAAGGCAAAATACATGATGACATTCCCAAAGAACGAGGTGACAGGAGCTCCCCAGAATTGCTTCCATCGAATCATCCAAAATGGCCGCATGTTGCCAGGCGACACACTGACGTCAGCTTCACTGTCACTGAGTTGAATGGAAAAAAAGGAACAGATTTAAAGTTGGAACTGTTTGATATTCCACCACAGTTCATTGACAAGTACCATGACTGGGGTGGTACCTTCTCAAGGGGGCGACTGAGGGCGAGCAATAAGCGTTGACCCAGCCAATGGCACCCATGTCCCATGCGTTAGTTAACAAAAAAGAGGACAGTCTGGCTCCAGTGATGGTACTTTAGCCTCTGAGTCTTAATGGAGAGCCAGTATAGACACGATGGGCTGAGTTGTCTTATTCTGTAGGTAGGTCAATGGCCTGGATTTACACTCCCCCAATGGTGGGCTTGGAAGAGATGGAGGGTTGGTGTGTCAGTGAAGCTTGTAAAATCCACAGCAAGTCCTGTCTGTTATCCATCCATTCCACACCCCAACCTGTCTCCTATTTTATGACGCACCATAAAAATGTCGAGTGGATCTCACACAGCCTACTGCAACCCTTAGGTGGTCAATTAGTGACCACTCCAGACCTTGTCCTACCCGACACGGCCATTTTTTGCCTGTTGTAGGACGTCATTCAAACTCTTGGTTGGGGAAGTGGGTGGAACCATTTTTGTCAAAGGCCTGTGGCCAAAGGCATATCGCCAGGGCCCTCTGACCTTCCCATATTTGAACTCTCAAACTCAGCCCTTACCTGGCTCACTGGGGCCTTCCAGCGTGTCCCCAGGGATACCTCAGATTTGCCTGAGTGTTCGGGCTCCTTTCCATTGGGACTGCATGCAGTTCCCAATAGTGGCCACCACTCTGAGCTGGCGATACTGCGACTACATCTAATTGGCCCCTCCATTCTGTAGGTCAGGGGTTCGTTGTGAAATTGGTGGGGGCGGGGAGGTGGTGGTATAGTCTTGTCTTTTTTCTACACTTTCACAGGGCATGGGCATAGCTGGTGAGGACAGCATTTGTTGACCATCCTTAATTGCCCTTGAACTGAGTGACCTCCTAGACCATTTTGAAGGACATTTAAGAGTCAGCCACATTGCTGTGGGTCTGGAGTCATGTGTAGGCCAGACTAAGCAAGGATGGCAGATATCCTTCCCTAAAGGGCATTGGTGAACCAGGTGGTTTTTATACATCAACCAATCTGGTTTCATGGTCACCATTCCTGAGACTTGCGATCAATTTTATCTTTCACAAAGAAAGATTAGAGAATTTGGGCCCATTCTCCATGGAGCAGAGATGATTAAGAGGCGACTGATTGAGATGTTCAAAATTTCAAACAATTTTGACAGGGTAACGAAGGGTATTCTGTTTCCAATAGTTGGCATGTTGAAACTAATGGTCACAGTTTCAAGGTTGTTAACAAGAGACCTGGGAGTGAGATGTGGAGACATTTCTTTACTCAGAGTTTGTTAGGATTTAGAATGCGCTGCCTGGGACAGTGATGGAGGTGGATTCTGTAGGAAGTTTCAGAAGAAAGCTGGGTATATATTCGAAAGTGATGAATTTAGAGGGCTATGGAGATAGGGCTGGAGAATGGGACTAGCTGGGTAGTTCTTTTGGGAGCTGGTACAGACATGATGGGCTGAATAGTCTCCTTCTGTACTGTAAAATTCTATAATTGAGTTTTTTTAAAATTAATTGCGTATGAATTCCAAAAGTTCCCGTGGTTGGGGTGGGCAATAAATATTGGCCTTGCCAGCAACATTCGCATCCAACAGGCAAATGCATGAAAAAGAAGACAACCTCCTGTTTTTGGTCAGAAATCAGAAAATTAATAAAATATTAAAAAGTTCCACTAACTGATAGATGTCAGATTTGGGAAGCAATAAATCACCGTCGATACTGTCCAAATCAGATGTGTTCTTCTCTGTCATGTGTTCCTCTCTGCTGTTGCTGTGAAAGAAACAGGAATGTTATTTACAGGTTGTGAAACATTTCACAACGCAAAGTACTGGGTTTGGCCTGCCATTGTTAGCTGCCAATTTCATCAAATATTTTTCCTCTTCAGAGAAATCTGATGGTCTCTAGCAGCTGGAGGAGATTATATCCAGCTCAACCCTCTTCGAGCACCCCCCTACAATTTTGCCAGTGAAGGGGTTACCATGAAGGACTCTCATTGATCTCTCCTCTCATTGGAGATGTGGTGGTCTTAAACCATCAACCATCGTCTCTCGCTAACAAGAGACCAGCCGTCTGGTCTGGTAGGACGGTGGCAACTCTAACATGAGGTCTGTTTAGCTCAGTTGGCGGGTTGACTGGTGTGTGATGTCAAGTGATATGAATAGCATGAGTTCAATTCCCCCACTGGCTGAAGTTACCATGCAGGTCCGTACTTCTCCCTTTTCCTGAGGTGTGGTGACCCTCAGGTTAAACCACTTCTAGTTGTCTGTCTTGAATGAGAAAGCAGTCTCATGGTCTGGTAGGACCATGGCAGATCCACATTTTAACTCCACTTATTGGTCCCAGAAGCCTCACTGCCCTCCGTTATCAATCTCAATTTTGACATTTTGTATTAACCACATCCTTGGCCTAGTGGTATTATCGCTGGACTATTAATCCAGAGACCCGAATAATATTCTGGGACCCATGTTTGAATCCCGCCATGGCAGGTGGTGGAATTTGAATTCAATAAAATATCTGGAATTAAGAATCTGATGATGACTGTGAATCCATTGCCAATTGTCAGAAAAACCCAGCTGGTTCACTCATGCCCTTTAGGGAAGGAAACTGCCATCCTTACCCAGTCTGGCCTACATGTGACTCCAGACCCACTGCAATGTGGTTGACTCTGAACTGCCCTCTGGGCAATTAGGGATGTGCAATAAATGCTGCCTGGCCAGCGATGCCCTCATCCCGTTCATAAACAAAAAAATAAACATCCCCAGCCTCAACAAGTTTTTGGAGGAGACAGTTCCAGGTTTGCTCTGTGTAAAGAATCACTTCCTAACAATACTTGTCCTGTGACTAGGGCCTGGTTCCACCGACTGCAGCTGCTCCCGTGGGGCCATACACACACCTCATGGCCAGGCCACCAGGATCCCGTCCTTGCTGATGTCCATTTGCACATACACATTTTCACTAAAAGGGCAGAAATCAGGCTTAACTTCCCTTTGTTCTGATTATCCAAGGATTGGAGGCATTGCTGGCGGGATCAGCACTTATTGCCCACTCTTCAATGTGCCTTGAGAAGATGGTGAGCTGCTTTCATGTGCAGTCTGTGTGCTGTAGGCACTCCCACAATGCCCTTAGGGAGAGCATTCCAGGTTTTGACCCAGTGACACTGAAGGAAAGCCGATATAATTCCAAGCCAGGATGGTGAGTGGCTGGGAGGGGAACTTGCAGACGGTGGTGTTCCCCTGTATCTGCTGCTGTTGGGGAAAGTTGCAATGAAATGCATTGAATCACTTGTCAGTGTCAGACCAAATCCTGGGTACAATGCCCCCAGGCCTTGCTGGTTGGCAGTCCAGATGACAACTGGCACTGTAGTTGGTCATTAAGATCATAGGTTTGGAAGGTGCCATCTTGGTAAATTGTTGCAGTGCCTCTTGCAGATGGTATCCACTGCTGCCACCAAGTGTCAGTGATGGAGGGAGTTAGTGCTAAATGTGGTGTCCATCCTTTGAACTGCTTTGTCCTGGATGGTGTCGAGTTTCTTGAGTGTCGTTGGAGCTGCCCCCATCCAGGCAAGTGGAGAGTATTCCATCACACTCCTGACTTGTGCCTTGTAGATGGTGGACAGGCTTTGGGGAGTTAGGAGGTGAGTTACTCACTGCAGGATTCCTAGCCTCAACCCTGTCCCTATAGCCGCATTGTTTATATGGCAGGTTCAGTTTGGTTTCTGGTCAATGGTATCTCCCTGCTATAAGATGCTGGGAGATTCAGCATCGGTAATGTGTTTGAATGTCAAAGCCGATTCTGGGAAGACCAACTACAATGTCATCCAGACTGCTAGCCAGCAAGGTCTGGGGGCATTGTACCCAGGACCTGGTCTGACACTGACAAGTGATTCAATGCATTTCGTTGCAAGCTTGCGAAAGGCGAACACAGCAACAAAACCCAGGAAATTCATGATATCCTTTTCCAGTTTGGTGCCTCCAGTTTGCTGGTGGGTAAAGCGAGAGGGTGGAAAAGGGGGGATGAGGATTGAAGGTGGGTGGGCAGGAACTGGCCCTTTATCATATTCGTCGCAAGCCAAAGGAGCTTTACCTGAACTTGATGAGGTTACTGTATATGAAAAGGGGGCAGAAGAAAGCGATGCACAGCTTCCAAGTTTCTGTGTTCCTGTCCATCTGCCCCCACCAGATCTGATTCAGGAGGGCCTGCCGAATAAAACAGAGAATAACGCATGGCAGCCCCAGCTTAGCCACCACCCCAACCACCACCCCACCTTTAAAGACACCCTTTGACAGTCCACTTTCTGACGTTGCTCAATGTATAGACTGCCCAGACTGTCGATGGCTTCTCACTCTCAGACTCTGCTAACAAGGCAGGAATAAATCTTTGAAACAATAAGAACTGCCGATGCTGGAGTCAGAGATAACATAGTGTGGAGCTGGAACACAGCAGGCCAGGCAGCATCAGAGGAGCAGGAAAGTTGACGTTTCCGGTCGGGACCCTTCTTCAGATGATGTTGCCTGGCCTGCTGTGTTCCTCCTGCTCTCCACTGTGTTACCAAGGAATAAATCTTTTCCGTTTTCATTTAGCCTTATCAAACCAGCTCTGGTTGTCCTGTAGCAACAATTCTGAGGGAACTTTGCATCCATTTACACTGAACAATGTGACAGCAATAGCTATATTTTTTTAAACACCCCCACCCTTTTTACAACAGTTTATTGGCACATGGACTGCAGTGGTTTAAGGAGGAAGCTCTCCAACATCTTCCCAAGGAGACCCAGGGATGAGCAATAAATGCTGGCCCAGCCAGCTACATCCCATGTCCCACAAGAGAATAAAATTAATGTTTTATTATCATCACCATGCAGGAACATGGGTTCTAAATTGAATGGAAAATAGACTTTAGCTTAGTCCCACCTGCTTGCGTTTGGCCCATATCCCTCCAAACCTTTCCTATTCATGAACTTATCCAACTGTCTTTTAAACATTGTACTGTACCTGCATCCACTACCTTCCTCTGACAGTTCATTCCACACACAAACCACCATCTGTGTAAAAAGGTTGCCCCTCATGTCCCTTTTAAATCTTTCTCCTCTCACCTTAAAAATACGCCCCCTAGTTTTGAACTCCCCCCTCCCTTGGGAAAAGACCGACATCATTCACCTTATCTATGCCCCTCATGATTTTAAAAACACCAAGAAGGTCACCCCTCAACCTCCTGTGCTCCAGTAACAAAGAAGTCCCAGCCTATCCGACCTATTTTAATATCTCAAACCCTCCATTCCCAGCAACATCCTGGTTAATCTTTTCTGAATCTCTCCAGTTTAATAATATCCTTCCGATAGCAGGGCAACCAGAACTGCACTCAGTATTCCAGAAGGGGGCTGACCAATGTTCTGCACAACCTTAACATGATGCCCCAACTCCTGTAGTCAAAGGCCTGACCAATGAAGGCAAGCGTGCTAAATGCCTTCTTAGCCAACCTGGCTACCTGTGATGCAAATATCAAAGAATTATGCACCTGAACCCCCTGGTCTCTTTGTTTGACAATACTAGCCAGGGCCCTACCATTAATTGCATAAGTCCTGCCCTTGTTTGTTTGACCAAAATGCACGACCTTACATTTATCCAAATTAAACTCCATCTGCCACTCCTCAGCCCATTGATTCAATTGATCAAGATCTCTTCGCAATCTTAGATAAACACCCTGACAACACATAGATAGACATGAAAGTAAGTTTGTTACGAAGTTGGGCAGAGTAATTGTGAAGTGAGAGGAAGGAAACTAAAATGTGTGGTTCCTTTAAGAGATTTGTGCTTTGTCTGTACTTAGAAATTTTAAAAAATATATTTTTGTGAGCAGCAGCTGAAGTTGCCAGTACAGAGAGCCTCAAAAATTGAAACAAGTGTATCAAAAAAAGTTTTACGGCTGGCGGGCAAAACATTCGTCTTGTTTTGATGTTGTGACAACGAATTTGAATTTGGCCAATTAATTTAAATGAAGCACCTAGATCGAGAAAGTCAATTGAGTTTAAATCTGATGGTATTGACAACCTGAAACCAATCATATATAAGAATTTGATTATGTAATTGCAGGTATATAAGACGCGGGCATTTGGAAAATTGGAGAGACCCAACTGCCATCTGCTGCCAGGGTTAGCACCAGTCAGCTCTCAGAGAAAGCCCATCTAATTAATCAAAGGTACCATGGTATTTTAGCTCAAAGTCCTCATTGAAGCAATTATAGAGATAAAACATCCCTGACAGCAGAATTAATGGAAGAAAGGGGTTTGTGAACAGAGCGGAGATGACAAAATATTCCAGAAGACAGTCTGTGTGAACTTGGAGAGATTAAGTTATAATTTATTGCTTCTTATTAATTGGGTTTATATTAGAGGGACTTGTTTTTATTTAAACAGCGTTCCAGTAGAATTTAGACCAGTTAGGGAGTAATTTGTAGTTGGGGGGAATTGTCAGTTTGTTAGTAATTTTATTAATTTGTTCACTGTTGGGTTAAGTAAATAAATTGCTTCTTGTTACTTGTAAAGTGGAGATCAGGGATTTTCTTTCTTTTAACCACTCTTTTAATAGATTATGAGGGGAAAGACGAGCTTCTCTGGGTGTTTCAGACATAATTATCAGAGGGGAAACCCTGCTCCCGCATAACATCTTGTGTTTTAGTTTAATTATCAAAGGGTTTGGCCATTCCCAGGCGTAACAAGTTGTGAAGTGCATGCAAGGTGGTTACAAAAGGATTAAAAAAATAGGTAGGGTGAGTGAGTGAGCAAAGATGTGGCAAATGGAGTATAATGCGGGAAAATATAAAGTTGGGGATTTTGGCATGAAGACTGAAAAAGAAGCACATTAGCTAAATGGTGAGAGATTACAGAGCTTTGAGATGCAGAGGGATCTGGGGTGTCCTTGTGCATTAAATACAAAAGGTTAGCCTGCAGGTACCGTGAGTCATTAGGAAAGATAATTGCAGGTTATCATTAATTATAAGGGGAATTGAGTACAAAAGTAAGGAGGTTATGCTTCGGTTATACCTCATCAGGTCAGTGAGACCTCATCTGAAGTTTTATGTACTGTACTGATCTCCTTATTCAGGGAAAGATATAAATGCATTAGTTTAGACAAGGTTAACTAAACTAACATTATGGACCAGACCAAACCCTCTCAAGATATTCAGAAGACCCTAACTTTTTCTTGTTTTAAATGTAAATGTAAGGTGTTGCAATCCAGATGTGATTCGATAGATCAATCTAGTGGATTTAAAGCAAAATCACACTTTATTCATCCACTAAAGTTAAAGAAAGAGGAAATTAGAATAACCTAACACCATTGGAAAACTTAACAGGATAATGGATACAGTAACTATTACTAATTAACAATTCCATTATAGTAACTTCCCATAAACACACCCTGGGCAAAAGGCAAATTTAGAACACAGACTGACTCACATGTAGCTCCTGTAGCAGGAAGAGAACCCCTAGCTGTTGGCTGTAATAGAGAGAGAGAGAGAGCGAGAAACAAAAATAGCTTCCACTTCCCAACAGCAACTGCTGCTGAAAAAAGAACGAAAAATCCTGGATCTGTGAGAGCTTGACCACACCCACTCAGGCTGCTTCTATTGTTCTAACTTTAAAAAAACCTCACTGCCTCACAAGCTGTTTACTCCAGTGGTTCTAGTAGACTGCTTCAAACCTCTACCACAAAACCTTTAAAAATCAAGGGTGTTCTATTCAAAAGATTAATTAATTGAATTTTGTTCTCTCAGGGGGTTGTGAGTCCTTCGAATACTTTCCCTGAAAGGCCAGAGGGAGCAGAGTCCTTGAATATTTTTTAAGGCAGTGTTAGATTCTTGTTGAGTAAAGGGAGTGAAAAGTTAGCAGAGGTAGGTGTGAATGTGGGTTTAATATTACAATCAGATAGACATGATCTTATTGAATGGCAGAGCAGGCTGTAGGGGCTGAATGGTCTCTTCTTGCTCTTAATTCAAATGCTTGTAGCTTTAATTCCACTTACCTGTCTGTCTCCCATAACACTTGAACGCTTTTTTAATTGAAAATCTGCCGCAGTCTCAAACATCTTCAATCAATCAGCCTCCAAAATGCTGAGGGAGAAAATCCCAAACACCCAGCAGCCCTCAGAGAAAACATTTCTCCACGTTGCAGTGTCATTGCATTTGACTCAATATAACAGTTTTGTTTTTAACAACAATTGATGATGATTGTTATGATTCTGGGTGTATAAGGTGATGGATTTGAAGAAGTTAACACCCATATTACACTGAGTTCCACCCAGTTGGATATTGTCCCATGTGGGGGAAAATGGTGAATTCTACAACAACCTTCATAGGGAGCAGATGGATTTTGAACAGCTCTCATAAGTCCTAATGATTAACCCCTATCCCGACTTTTAACCTAAGTTGTATTTATTGTTACTCTGTAACAAACCATCTTGTTAACTAAGACAAATATGCTGTCTGTTTTGAATTACCAGTAGTCTATCCTCTACCACTGATCATTAGATAGGCCCTAGGTACAATATTAATAAAGGAGAAAACCACCTCAAACAATCCTTATCCTGCACCACATACTAGCAGCAATCACAGATGCCATGAGATGCCAACAATGGCAATCAGGGTAATATCACACTCACCCGGATTTTTAAATTGAAATTTAATTTCTGCCACATGCTGCAATGGGATTTGAACCTTTATCCCTCAGAATGGAGCTTGGAAGAGGTTGTCTTGGGTAAGTAACTGGAGAGACTAGGCTGTTGGTAGATTTGCCAGTTTATTTAATATTCTGTAAAATATTTACAATCTTGAACTTACAATAAGGCCGTGTACAAGACCCTATCTCTCTAGAGTCTACTGTCAAGTGACCTGTCATATCACTACAATGTAGGCTAACTATTACATGTTTGAGTGCTAACCCTTTACTCTGCAGCTCCTACGGGCATTTACCTGAGCACCTGAGTTACTAGGCAACGGCCATATCCATGGCACCATCATCTCCGTGTGGTTTTAATGTAGATAAACCTCTGTGTCTCAGAGTCCACAATCTATGTTTCATGTTTAAATCCCGATCCCTACCGTTATCACTTTCAAAGCATTAATTGTCGGGGAATTCCCAGATCGCGGGGTTAATATTCCCAACTGACCTGGACTCCGTCATGAGCAAGAAAATTTCGGGCGTCGGCCTCGTTGGCAAGCTGTAGACAGGTGGCACTGCCCCACAGTGGGCACTGCCGCACCAGCAGCCGGAACGCACGCTTCTCATTGTGACGGTAACACTGGTTGAACACGTCTGTGAGCACAGGACAAAGACAGGGCATCAGCATTGGCAAAGTACATGGGCAAGACAGCTAGCCATGGCTACCAGAGTGCCCACAAGCCACACGTGCGCACACGCACGCACATGCAGACATGCACGCACACATGTACACACACATGCATACGCAAATAGACATGCATGCACACATGTACAGACATGCATGCAGACACGCACACACGTGCGCACACACATGCACGCACATATACAGACATGCATGCAGACACACACACACGTACACACACATACAGACATACATGCAGACACGCACACACACATGCATGCAGACATGCACATGCATACACACATGCATGCACACACACATTCACAGACACATGCACAAGTGCACACACACACACGCACAGATACATACATATAGACACACACATACACAATGATTCAGAAAAGGTAACAGTGCAAGTAAAGGCCCTTTGGCCCTTCAAGACAGAACCAGCAAATTCCTGGGTGGGGCTGAAGGTTGTATATGGGGATAGAGTTGGTAGCATGGTCTCTGGAATAGACTTGGTGGGGCTGGTTTATACAGCACACATAACAATCAGAGTAGAGTTACTTGCTGGGTGGATAGGTTTAGGGAATAGGATTGGGTGAGTGGGCCTCTCAGTTTGGAGCTGGTGAAGTTGGTGGTTGGGTGGGTAGTGTGAATGGGCTGGAGATTTGAGATAGGTATCGAGTCTTACTTGTAGATACTACCTCATCAACCTGTTTGAGGTGTTATTACACACCTCTGGAGCAGGTGGGACTAAACCCGATGTCTCCTGGGCTACTACCACTGCAACACAGTCCCAGAGTCTTATTTGCATGAAATTAATATTAAGGATATATGGATGGAAGGCAGTCTTTAGTTAATTACTTAGGCGCACTTATTGACACTGGTTCTGGTTTGTACAGTTAGGAGCTACTCCCAGGTGATGTTTCACTTTATAAATAAATCTAAAACCTAATAAAGATTGATGTTTCCTTAGCCGATAGCCTGTGAAATGTTTAACAAAGCGGGTGTGTCGAGTTGGATTTTTCAGAGCTAGGATGGTTAGAGGGGTATGTGGGGTGGGGAGTCTGGGTGGTTAGAGGGGTATGTGGGGTGGGGAGTCTGGGTGGTCAGAAGGGTATGTGGGGTGGGGAGTCTGGGTGGTCAGAGGGGTATTTGGATAGAGGCGATATTAGGTGATTAGGAGGTTTTGGGTGGTTAAAGGGGTTTGTAGGGACCGTTTATTGAGTGATCAGGCAGGGCATGAAGTTGAGTTTTTGGGGTGTTTAGAAGGAGCGAGAGGTCATGTGTTGCATCAATAAATCTGGGGGAGCTACAAGGAGGTGAAGCTTTGTTCATCTTTTGGTGGAACAATTTAGTTCTTTCCTTTGAAACAACTGGTCCAGTTTCAGCTTCATTGTCTCCAGCCATACCTAGCGACAGTTGGGCAAATTTTGCTGCCATCTCCTTCATGAGTTGGGCCCCTTCTGCTTCTGGCTGGTATCGAGCCATTTCCCTCAGGATCTTGCAGGCAACGAGGCCAGAAGACACTGACTCTCCACCCTGCGGGTTGGAGAAGACAAGTTAAAGAGAAAATGGGAAGATATTACTTTTCTCTCTCCTTTTATCACCAAACTACCTTCAAACTATATCAACCTTGTTAGAAATCTGTCAAAACCTTTGTACACCGCCATATTAAGGACGTGAATATTTCTGAAATACCTTGAGAGATATTACTGTTGCAGGATGCTGGCAAAAAAAAAACTAATGTCTTTCAATCCTTAGCCATATCCTCTCTAAGGCACTGCTGTCTTGTGCCCAGTGCTCACTGTATTCCCACATCTTGTCATTGTCCAAGAAGGGAACATCATATTTGGGCAAGCAATCGAACAATTCCAAACATGAGCTTTTATTTACAGCCACCAAAAGGGCGCACAACAGAGCTCTTTCATACACAAGGACAGCTTCCTCCTCCCCTTTGTCTTCATCCTTCTCCTTCCTGGAAGACTGCTCCTAAGGAGGAGGTGTTAGCAATTCTGGAAGGTGTGAAAATAGATAAATCCCCTGGGCTGGATGGGATTTATCCTAGGATTCTCTGGGAAGCTAGGGAGGAGATTGC